TTTTTAGTAGAGACGGGGTTTCACCATGTTGACCAGGATGGTCTCGATCTCTTGACCTTGTGATCCACCAGCCTCAGCCTCCCAAAGTGCTGGGATTATAGGCGTGAGCCACCGCGCCCGGCCTTGAAAAAATATCTTAATTCTAAAAAAGAAATTTAAAAAAAGAAAACGTGAATCTAAGATTAGTGTATGAGAGTTAAGAGACCCAGAGAAGGCAAACAGCATCAAGGTCAAAGTTGAGTGAGTCCTGGGTGAGAAGTGTCTTTTCAGCCAGGGGAGATTTTCCATGCAGAAGGGACTGGGCATCATCTGCCAGGGACATGGACAGAGATGTGCGCCATTAGAAGCCGGGCCTCATGCCGCAGCAGCATCCCTCAGGAGGACACCGGGCCTCAGGCCGCAGCAGCATCCCTCAGGAGGACACCGGGCCTCAGGCTGCAGCAGCATCCCTCAGGAGGACACCGGGCCTCTCATACCACAGCAGCATCCCTCAGGAGGACACCGGGCCTCAGGCCGCAGCAGCATCCCTCAGGAGGACACTGGCTTTCTCAAGGCCATAGCCTTTAGTTTCTGGAAAAAAAATGCTTAGGCACTGAAAGGATTAAGGTCTCACAGCTCCTATAGTGTGACGTGTAGATGCAGTTTCCAATCATTTTCTCTATATTTTATTTTATTTTTAAATTTTTATTTTTTTGAGATGGAGTCTCCCTGTCACCCAGGCTGGAGTGCAGTGGCACGATTTTGGCTCACTGCAAACTCCACCTCCTGGGTTTAAGCTGTTCTCCTGCCTCAGCCTCCCGAGTAGCTGGAATTGCTTACAGACACCTGCCACCATGCCCGCCTAATTTTTTTTTGTAGTTTTTAGTAGAGACAGGGTTTCACCATCTTGTCCAGGCTGGTCTTGAACTCCTGATCTCATGATCTACCGGCCTTGGCCTCCCAAAGTGCTGGGATTATAGGCGTGAGCCACCACGCCCAGCCTCTTTATATTTTACAAGATGGATGACAACTGCAGCTCAGACCCCTGTCTAGCCCCTCACAGAGAGCCAGGCACGAAACAGGCGCCCATGAGTGTAAATGAATCTGAAACAGGCAGAACAGGAGCATCAACTGAGTAATTTTTTTCCTTTTTCCAATAAGAACATTTGCTTTGAGAGGAAGCCACGGGAAGAGATGTGATGAAACATTACACGGAGGGAGGGAGGAGCCTCCAGGTGGGCTGGAGTGAGTGGCATGTAGGGTGGACGGCAGGGGAGAGAGGGGCAACCTGTTCTATAATATTGAAATCACCCATGTGTGTGTCCAATTTTTCACTGGACTGTGATGTCCTTCCAGGGTCCGTGTGTAGCTGCCTCCCCATCGCCTAGCAGGGTGCCTGACTCCCCTGAGTGCTCAATAAACGTTGAACTGGCCAGGCGCTGGGCACAGTGGCTCACGCCTATTAATCCAGCACTTTGGGAGGCCAAGGCGGGTGGATCACCTGAGGTCAGGAGGTGGAGACCATCCTGGCCAACATGGTGAAACCCTGTCTCTACTAAAAATACAAAAATTAGCCGGATGTGGTGGCAAGCGCCTGTAATCCCAGCTGCTCCGGAGGCTGAGGCAAGATAATCGCTTGAATCCGGGAGGCGGACGTTGCAGTGAGCCGAGATAGTGCCACTGCACTCCAGCCTGGGTGACAGAGCGAAACTCCGTCTCAAAATAAATAAATAGGCTAAAATAAGCATTGAACTGAACAAAGGCAGCTCTTACATCTGTCCAGTCTCGAGCTTATGCAGAGAGGTCAATGTCATCTTATTCCTTTGGAGGAACTATTGGTCATTTAAAGGACTAATTGAAGGCATTCTGTAGGTCAAGCGTGCCGGAGTGGAGGGGGCTAAGCAGACAGGTGGTCCTCTGCACCGGTCTGCAATTCGGCCCCTGGAAGCAGCGGGAGACGTCGAAGGAGGCGAGAAGGTGCGTGCGCCCCTCAGCAGGCCCGCGGATGCTGGGTGGTACCCAAGGAGGCGCTCAGATCGCTGGAGCTGGAGCTCAGCCGGGGGTCTTTCGCGGGACCCGCACCCACTCCGGAGCATCTTTGGCCCTTCTGTTTCACTGAACTCGCTTTCCTCATCAGGAAAGTGAGGAGACCAATCACCTCCAGGACGGTGTGGGGTGGGGAAGAGGGCGCAGGGAGAGGCTGAGGAATGCGCGGCGCACACGCGAGCTGGCATCACCGGGGATTCCCGCGGGCTCGGTGGGACTCCGGGGCGCTGGCAGCGAGGACCCTCAGCCCAGTCTGGGCCCTTGGCAGCCTCAGTGGCCCAGGCCCGCCCAGCCTCCGCGCGCGGCCCTCTCCTGGGCTGCCGGGAAGCTGGCAGAGGGGCGCATCGGGCAGCGGGCGGGGACCCGGGGACGGCCGGGAGCGCGGGGACCCAGGACGCACGGGGCGGGCCGGGCGGAGCGCGCCTCGCGCCTTCCCCCTCCCCCGCGGCCCGAGCGCGAGCCGCCGTGACGTCACGGGCCACCCGCCAGCCCCGCGCTCCTCCGGGCAGAGCGCGTGTGGCCGCCGAGCACATGGGCCCGCGGGCCGGGCGGGCTCGGGGCGGCCGGGACGAGGAGGGGCGGTGAGGAGCTGTGGGCAAGGATGTGCCCCGGGACCCCCTGCACCTTCCAGTGGATTTCCTTGCGCAAGGGATGTGGTCGGCCCCGGTGACCTGTGGAGACCCGGCCAGATCTGCCCTCCGGTAAGTTCCAATTTTGTCCCCTGCGGTTCTGGAAACTCTCGAGCCTTGGCCTTGGGCAGGGATGCGCTGTGAGGAGTCGGATGGAGGAAAGGGGCTTTCGGAATCCAGTGCGTGTGTGCTAAGCGTGCACCGTCCTCATCACCAGCCTCAAGACTGGAGGCGAGTTTGGGCGTTTGGGGAGGGGGAGGGGAGGGGGATGACACCGAATGGCCCGTGCTTAAAGGCAATTCTGGATTTATGAACTTGATCAAAGGCCTATTAACTAATCGCTAAAAATAGACCCCTCTGCAGTCAGAAGGATTTGGGGCCACGATGTGGTTTGGAGGCCCCTCTGGCGAAACTAGAGGTCTGTGAATGTGTGATCTTGCCTCCATCCTTTGACCATCACTCTCTCCTTCCTCCCACACCCCCTCAGGGCTGGGCGAAGGTGATTTCCAAAAACTGTGTAACTCTGTGTTTTGAGACTTTCTCTGCTTTTGCATCGCCTGTGTGGGTTTGTTGGGTGCTCCTAAACCCTCATCATGGTAATTCTTCTTGGCTGGGCTGTTGATTTAATTAGGTTTGCCTTCTCTGGCTAACGTGCTCTTATTTATGCCAGTGTTTGTGGTTCTCGGTGTAGACTTTCAGGAAGCACAGCCATGAAGCTGCATGTGTCTGTGTGTGGATACCCCATGCATTTTCCCCATGGTTTGCAGGCATGGAAGATTCTTCTGCTCACCCAAGCTCCTGACTTTAGGCCCTTCTAGAACATTAGAAAGGAGAAGAAATCATGTGCAAGGGTTTAGGGACAAGAGGGTGAGATTTTGGTGTTTCTTTTCTGGTCTTAGGTTTTCCAGACAGAGGCTGTTAGGCCAGCTCTCTCCCACTCCACCACTGTGTGAATCCTGGCTACTGGGGTTATTTCCTTGCTGCGAGAAAAAACCCTAGAGAAATGTGTTTGTGTGTGGTGGGTGGGCGGGGGCCCTGAGGATGCAGGGACCGTGTCTGCTGTGTTGTCTAAGATGTTGCAGACCTATTTTGCATACTGGCAGCGACAAGTTGAGACTTGTTCAACTTGACACAGTCCTGTGGTCACGGCGAATCTTTCTAAAGCTCTCATCAGTCAAGAAGAGGGTTGTATCATTCCTCAGAACCCTGAGTGGAACTTTCTAAAGGATTTATTAGGAGAAAGGCCTTCACGGAAGCTGCAGGACAAACACAGAATCCATGTGTGGAAGAAACCTCGTGGCCTGGTCTCTATTATTTGAGACGAGCTACATCTTGGAGGTGAGGACATGCCTCGTGATCTAAAGCTTCGGCACAAGAGCCCAACTGGAATTCCATTTATAGGTACGACGATGGAAAGGCAGGGTGGCTCCACCGTGGGGTGTATGCTGTGCCCACTGATTGCGCAGAGGGGATTTGTTAAGTGATTATGCGGTCGTTTTGCCTGGTTTATTCTTGTTGCCTTATCTACCTTGAGTGCAGAATTTTTTGCATAAACTGGCTTCTCTTGAAAAATAGAAGAAATCCATTTTTTTTTTTTTTTTCAGATTAACTTTCTTTTTCCTCTCTCTTAACACCACCCCAACCCCCGACCCCCGACACCTCCATGTTGTGTGTTTCTGCACTGGAAATAGGGAGTTCTTCTCTCTGTTCTGACATGTCTGACCCCCACTGGTTTATATGATTGCTGGTCTAAAAACCTGGTGAATTCTCACTGCCCACATCAAATCAGCTCCCTGTTCTTGAGGGTTTTTTTCCACCGCCTGAGCGGTAGGCAGGAACTCTGGCTGGGCTTCAGAGCCTGTGTTTGCCATGCCTGGGCCTTCTGCCTGCCCAAGATGGACACGTTTCTCCGGCAGCTCAGTCAAGCGATCTCCTGGACCGTAAGACACCCTGTTCTTTCCTTCTGTTTGTGTGAATGTCCCTGCATTTGGGCAGACCATTGGCAGATTATCTGGGGGAAGAGGAAGACCTTGGATAGATCTCCTAACCTCGTGATCTGCCCGTCTTGGCCTCCCATAGTTGCTGGTCCACGTTCTCTGGAGAGACAGTGGCAGGCCCGCGGATGGCTGTCCTTTGCTATGTGTTTTATATATCAGGTGGCCCTCTGGATGTGTGGGTTTTTTATTTTGCATTTCCTTCATTCCTTTCTTCCTTTCCTTTCTCCTTTCCTTTCCTTTCCTCTTTCCTTTCTTTCCTTTCTCAGAGTCTTGCTTTGTCACCCATGCTGGAGTGCAGTGGCTTGATCTTGGCTCACGGCAACCTCTGCCTCCTGGGTTCAAGGGATTCTGCTTCAGCCTCCCGAGTAGCTGGCCATGCCACCACGCATGGCCAATTTTTTGTATTTTAGTAGAGACGGGGTGTCACTATGCTAACCAGGATGGTCTCGATCCCCTGACCTCGTGATCTGCCCACCTTGGCCTCCCAAAGTACTGGGATTACAGGCATGAGCCACATTTCCCTTCATACTTGGCTGCAGACATGACATCTCCTTGTTCTCTTGTTTTGTTTTTTGTTGTTTCTGGACGCTGATTCTCTTTAAGGGATCAGGACTACACCGCACTCCCCAACTTATATTCCCAGTGTCTGTGGTGGGACATTGACCCAGGGTGGGAACAGAGCGACAATCTGGAATCATTTGACCATTGAGTCCTGTGGACAGTCGCTTCAAATATCATCCCTAGAGAGTCTCAGAAATTCAAGGCCTTGGGCCGGGAGCGATGGCTCATGCCTGTAATCCCAGCACTTTGTGAGGTCAAGGCAGGTGGATCATGAGGTCAGGCGTTCAAGACCAGCCTGACCAACATGGTGAAACCCTGTCTCTATTAAAAATACAAAAATTAGCAGGGCGTCGTGGCACACGCTTGTTATTCTAGCTACTTGGGAGGCTGAGGCAGGAGAATTGCCCGAACTAGGTAGGCGGAGGTTGCATTGAGCTGAGATCACATCACTGCACTCCAGCATGGGCGACAGAGTGAGACCCCATCTCAAAAAGAAAAAAATAAAAGCGGCTAGGCGTGGTGGCTTATGCCTGTAATCCCAGCACCTTGGGAGGCCAAGGCAGGTGGATCACCTGAGGTCTGGAGTCACCAACATGGAGACCAGCCTGACCAACATGGAGAAATCCCATCTCTACTAAAAATACAAAAAATTAGCTGGGTGTGCTGAGGGATGCCTGTAGTCCCAGTTACTCGGGATTCCGAGGCAGGAGAATCACTTGAACTCCGGAGGCGGAGGTTGCGGTGAGCCGAGATCTCGCCATTGTACTCCAGCCTGGGCAACAAGAGTGAGACTCCGTCTCAAAAAGAAAAAAAAAAAAAGAAAGAGAAATTCATGGCCATTTGGAATGCTGTCAAAATGGGTCCTTTGGCAGGACCCCCCTTTTCTCTTCTGTTTTCTGGCGTCAAGTAATCTAAGAAACTAATAACAGTAATAATAATTAATAATAACAACAATAGTGCAGGTAAAACATGGATATTGTTTATCACGCAAAGCCTGTTCTTCACCTTCTACTCACTACAGCTCCATGAGGCACTTAGAATAAAATGTCTAGCAATGGTAGAGTTCTTGTTGCGGTACGGGCTTGGTTCTAACACTTCAAATTATATGATCTCATTTAACTTTCCTGTAAAATAGGATTATTATTATTGTGATTTTGCGGATGAGGAACCCACAGCCCAGAGAGGTTAAAAATATCCTCCCGGGTCACACAGCTTGGGAGTGGCAGAGCTGTAGGGATTTGGACCATGGTTTTCTGATTTCCTAGTGCGACTTTCAGAAGTTAGAGGTTAGTGAGATTAAGAACAAGAGAAGGGGCCGGGCAGGGTGGTTTATGCCTGTAATCCCAACACTTTGGGAGGCCGAGGTGGGTGGATCACCTGAGGTCAGGAGTTTGAGACCAGCCTGGCCAACATGGTGAAACCCTGTCTCTACTAGTAATACAAACAATTAGCCAGGCATGGTGGTGGGCGCCTGTAATCCCAGCTACTCGGGAGGCTGAGGCAGGAGAATCGTTTGAACCTGGAAGGTGGAGGCTGTGGTTAGCCAAGATCACGCTATTGCACTCCAGCCTGGGCAACAAGAGTGAAATTCTGTCTCAAAAAAAAAAAAAAAAAAAAAAAAAAAGGGGAACAAGCAAAGGGTACCCCTTGGCCTTGAGCAGGAGGACAGAATGTGTCCTCCTCAGGCACGAACTTCAGAAACCTGAACATCCTGCATGAAGATACCTCGTGCTCTAGCTGCTGGCCTTTTCTGTAGCCATGGAGGAGGCAGAGACAAAGGGGCCAAGAGGCCTTAAGTGAGGGCTGACGTCCTGGAAAGTTCTGGGCTGTGGGTGTGGGCAGGAGCCTCTTGGCTGGGTGCGATGGCTCACACCTGTAATCCCAATACTTTGGGAGGCCAAGGCAGGCAGATCACCTGAGGTCAGGAGTTCAAGGCCAGCCTGGCCAACATGGTGAAACCCTGTCTCTACTAAAAATAAAAAAAAAAAAAGAGAGAGAGAGAGAAAATCAGCCTGGCTTGGTGGCACATGCCTGTAGTCCCAGCTACTCGGGAGGCTGAGGCAGGAGGATCTCTTGAACCCACGAGGCAGAGGTTGCAGTGAGCTGAGATTGCCATTGCACTTAAGACTGGGAGATAGAGTAAGACTTCGTCTCCAAAAAAAAAAGCCAAACCAAACAAGCCTCAGTCTTGGTACAAAATCTATAATCATTAGCAAGAGGCTGCAATCAGGCATACCACTTGACTTTGTGACCAAAACTAGGTTTCAGGATTTAATTATTATCAACCTTCACTGTGGATGGGAGATTTGAGCTCTTTTTTTTTTTTTTTTTTGAGTGGAATCTTGCTCAGTTGCCTAGGCTGGAGTGCAGTGGCGCTATCTTGGCTCACTGCAGCCTCCGCCTCCAAGGTTCAAGCAGTGTTCTGCCTCAGCCTCCCAAGTAGCTGGGACTATAGGCACATGCCACCATGCCCAGCTAATTTTTTGTATTTTAGTAGAGATGAGTTTTCACCAT